ATATATATATATATATATATATATATATATATATATATATATATATATATATATATATATATATATATATATATATATATATATATATATATAATTGCTTCCACATACGCCTACGTGTACGATTATAAATGAACCTAAATTAACCTATGGAAAGTTTGTTTTATGTATATGTTTTTTGAATCCATTTTATACGTTTCACATTTGTTTAAAGAAAGCTTATAATTCATTACAAATTGAATAATCATTTGACAATATAATTACGATTACGGCTGAAGAAATTATAATTCTGATAGATTTTATTTGTAATTTCGTAAACTATAATAATAAAATAATAAAAAATATAAATTCTTGTTTTATATTTAAAATGCCAAACCGGCCCGGCCCGGCCCGGTCCGTCCTCGGCAAAGCCAACCCACCCCGGCCGACGTTAGGGAGAAGACACAAGGGCACGGAGCCGCGAAGGTTTGGGCTGACGACATGGATGCAGGTGCCGAGCCTTGCAGCGACGTCACCAGCTTCCTCTATTTGAAGTCCGCCTTCTTGGCCATGGAACCCGCCCATTTCTTGATCTCCTTAGCCAGGTCCCCTCTTCCCTCCTCCTCTTGCTTCATCCATCCACGTCGCATCTGCGCCTCGCTGGTCACCAGCTGTTTGAACAAATGAGGCAACTAGTGTTAGTCGCATCATTTCAGGAGCACAGCGTGTTTTAGCGCTATAACGTGTGATCTGACATGAAGCAATTATCATAACAATGGTAGATAGCAGCTTTTGGTTGGAAAGCCAACAGATTGGCCGGACCTTAATTCGTGTAGGGCCTCGGCTAAGGATCGGGCAGCCCGAGGTCTAGCTCATAGAGCCTTATCTCCAGAACCCGACCACAATCTAGTACCGAGTAGGCCTAACCCTTGTTCAGTTTATGCCTGACCTCCAAGTCCTAACCGATCATCGTAACCCGACCAAGATGAACACAGAATATGTTGCGTTGATCTTGGGCTTCGGTTTGTGCTTATTTCGACCAACCCGATTTGGCTATCATGTTTCTCTGCAGTTACTTGTACTGCTAAGGTCTCTTACCGAGTGTGTTTTGTTCTCTGTAGACAAGCTGGTGGAGGTTCTATTACAACAAAGGTTCAGACTTTCATTTTGGAAGATTGTATAAAGGATATTGTGAGTGCCCATGGAAGGATTCTTTTTTCTTCATTATATAAGTTGGTGAAAGTGTACTTGGATGTTTGTGTATTACGCCATGATACGTAGATCTTTCTACAAGTTTAGTTTACGTGTTTGGCATATGAAGTGTATACCACGGCTTTATATTGTAATAATTTATTTGATTGTTGTTCACTGGTGTGTTAAATGAGTCACTGTGCATGTGTATGAACAATCTTGCTTGTTTTACCTAATTTTGACCTTCCCAGGACTTCATTTTTGTAGTACAAAAATTTGTAGATGTAGCTTCCTGAGTTTTCATCCATAAAGCATGATTTGTGTTTTAACTATCATTTTAACTTTCCCTTTCGGACTGAATGGTAAGATTAACTACCAACAATTAGAACATCATATTGATATCACTTTCTCAACCTTATTAATTTTGCTGTGATGATAACTTCAACAATCATTCCTTCCTATTCAATGGTTGAATATTAGCTACAGAGTTGGTTATTTAATTATACTTTAAAACCAGTTTTTCCATGTAAGTTACATGAAAAATTCTGATTAAAATGCATCCACATGTTCCATTGGATAAAGGATTAGTTTTGATTATGATCATGAAAAATGAAGAAAAAATTGCAATTAAGTAATATTAAACACTATTGTGCTTTGGATACATCATTTTTCCTTTTGTTTCCAATGCATGTGATCTCTGTGGTAGCACAAGAATATGGTAGTTATTCCTTGTTCGTTACTTCAGAATTCAAAAGTCAAGTTATGCAGGTGGGCAAAGGCACAGAGTTGAACAACAAATACATCAAGAACATTCTCCAAAAGCTCATTGTTGCTGTTGAATCAACTTCCGACATCGTGGTCGAGGACTTGTATGAAAAATTTGCCTATTATCTGACAATCCAATTGGTAACTAGTGCCTCTTCTGCTAGTTTCTTACCATCTGCAATTCATTTATAAACCAAAGTACCTTTTCTTTTTAAATACCTCAATGAAGAAGTTGATAGCAGTATTTTGTTAGTTTCTTGTAGATAATGCCGAGCCCAGAGATCAAGATGAACTTTTTCCGAGAAAGCAAAGTCATCAGTGATACATTAGCCAAGAAAAAATTATAAACACAACTATAAGATTCCAAAGATTTATAATGTTGGATTTCTTGAAGTACTCTAATTTTCTAATTATCACAACAGTTTGACTAATTTACAGGTCTAAAGTAATTTTGTGGTGAAAGTATAGCAAAGTAGACTCAGTAATAGTCACCACAGCAATGCTTGGCACAAGTTGGTTGTCAATTTACGTGCAAGTCATCACTCTCTTATTGAACAAAGATCTTTGCATAATGTAGTAAACTTATATTTTTCGTGCAAATTAACTTTTACCGTTCTATAGAATTGCTCACTATCTGCTAAACTTAACCTATTTTCCATCCACTGCCACAAGAAAAAAGCGGGGGAAGCCATATTTTAGTGTAATTTTAACTGATTCAAACACCCCAAACAAGGGTCGGTTACATAACAAGATATACAAATTTCATATGTGAAATCTTCTAGTGTTGTTTTTTTCCTATCAAACTATTTCCAAAAGTGATGAAGATTGAGCTATTTTTATTGGTTATATGTGTTTGAATTTATGCATGACATCATAATCAAATTGTAGTGTGTGGCAAATTTTTGTTTTCTTATGAACAAATTTGTAATAAAGATTATTTTTTTCCCATGTTTAGGATGATCAATTGCTAGAAGAGAACAATAGGATCTACAAGCAGATTACTTTTCTTTTGTCTCTTGGTAAGAAATAAGTCAGTTTTGGTTTTTATGTCTTCTACCTGCCTGGTTATACACATAATTTTCAAATATTTTATAGGCCAGAAATGTTCAAGTGCAATGGATCTAAAAGTTCCACTGCAATGTTCTCTTAACATGCTTGAAGGAGACACAGGGTATCTATTACTCTTTCATAGTTTACGTCAATTTTCTTATAATTGGCAAAAAAGGATATCATTACTATCATAATTTCATAATGTATATTAAGCATATTTTGTGATAATTTTCCTCGTGGAGTACCAAGATGTTTTGTTTGTGGCTGCTTTCTTTTAGTAATAATATCTATAAGAAGAGAGATACTTCTTGTACAAACCATGGTACTTATACCATGATACAAGCTAATTTGAAAATGTTTTACAGCGGATACATATTTGATTTTGTGTATGCCATTTGGACCTCATTACTTGCTAAGTTTTGCTACAATGACATGCACAAAGAACAGTGGAAGCTGGATTTTACCCTTTTTTTCCTTATAGTAATAACATTTCATGGCAATCTCTCTCTTCGAATTTGTATAATACCTATGTTTTAGAAACCATTCAATAAGAATATAACAGCCACCTCCATGAACCCTTACCAGCCAGTGTAGCAACTGAAATTATCTTCTTGACTGTATAATATTGAACCATTATGTAACCATCATGATGATTTCATAACAAACAATGACAGACTTTCATGGTTGTTACTGGATAATGAATTAGAGAAATCAATATCTATTAAAATAAGCCATTTGGCAATTACTAAATTGATTCAGAATTTGCAATTCCTTGAATAGTAATAAAGCCTAAAAGTGGCCTTTGAATGGTTTTGATGGAACTTAATGGCAGTTACATTTACCATAACAGGTTAGGTAGAAAGAAACAAGCCCACTACTCACAGTAGTCAATATGCTGGACCCAATTATCATGTCTGGAGGTCTAACATAATGAATTTTAATGTGTCTTAATCGGTTTTAATTCAAAAAACATAAACTTAGATTTGCAGGTTTAGAACAGCCAAAGTCAGAGTCAATCTGACTCATTTTCTACAATTTATTGTGTGATTGTTCTTTCTTTACCATGTACTCATTCTGCTGATTTGAATCCATTCATTTACCCATATATGGTTGAAAATTTTGGTTGCTTAATTTTTTTAAGGATTCATCTTGCACAACAATTTTAATGCTTGGTTTTGTTAGGTGTGCCCTTTGGCCCTCAAGTCTATTCTTGTCTGAATTTATCCTTTCTTACCAAGAGGTGTTTTCAAAAAAGTTTTGCTTTGAGGTAATAATAATTCTGAATTTCCTATTCCAGTGCTGACTTAAAATTCATCTTGAAATATTTGCAATATATCTTAAACTAGCAGATCGGTTCTGGTGTTGGTTTAGTTGGGATTGCTCTTCTCCATGTTGGAGCTTCCAGGGTATGATTTTTTCAAAATATTTTTTTTATAGAGTGTATACTTTTGGTAAGGTTTTAAGCTTTTTTTGCTCAAATATTGCTTATTCTTTTGTCTCTAGGGCATGCTTGTCTTTAATTTATTGTGTTTGTCTATTGCAGCACAAAATTTAGTCAAACTTGGTTGACATATTGTATTTGTATGCATGTATCTTACCTTTTTTCAAGTATCATTGTATGAATTGATAATCATGGAATTTCATGATGCATGCTAGTATTCAGAGTAATAATATTCAACTTGACATGTATTTATATTCAAAGTATTGTCAACTTTGTTGACTAATGGGGTTATTCTATTTGTTGAGTAAAATATTCTTGGACTGGATGGTTAGAATTACAAGTTCCATCTAGATATGGTGGTGGGAAATGCAGTGGGTTTTGTTGGCATAACATTTTCGATGAACTTGGTTGTCGATGACATTAATGGCACCTCATGGTGATTCATTCACGTGCTTCACAAATTTCATCTTTGTTTTACGTGCAACACCATACATGATCATATAAAAAATTTTGCAGGTAGTTCTTACTGATGGTGACATATCAACTTTAGCAAATATGAAGAGTAATATAGAACTGAACCATCTAGAATTGCCATCAGAGAGGACAAGTGCAAAGCCTATGGTTAGTCACAATTTTGGCCTTTTTACAAATATATGACTGGTAAATTACTGCATGTTCCTTGCAATCTTATATTTTTATTATAAACCCTGCTCTTTTTGTACCTTGGATTGTTTCTCTTGGGACGACCTATACCTATATGTTAGAGATACTTTACTTGCAGTAAGATGATACTTTTAGGTTCTTTCACTGCTTGGTATATCTTTCCATAGATTTGCTTACTCATATGCATATTACTAAGCCCGTTAACTGTGTACATGCTTTTAAGAAAAATTATTTTAGTAATTTGAAGTGTAACATTCAATATAGGATCGATATATTAAGCAGAGCGCAGGTTTGCAGTTGGCTGCTTCCTCTCTTAGATATTGAAATTTAAAGCCTAAGCGGCTTGAATCCGGGCAATGCAATATGAATGTCTAGTGCTCTAAAACAATGTTGCAACAAATTTTCAAGGCGGTTTTCCTCCTAGTCTATTTAAGTCGAGCAGAATTTCCTGAAGAGGCATATAACTGATGAACTTAAGATGTCCTGTTCTGACTTCCTGAGCTATGAGTTGCAGGTTGAGTGCAAATATCTACCATGGGAGTCTGCATCTAAGAGGGAGCTACAAGATTACGGACCGGAGATAATGTGAGTGACTCATTACCTTACTCTATGCAAGTGCCACTTAATTCTGTTATAGATCCATCATTATCCACGATGACTTGCCTGAAAATATTTGATGTTATTTAAATAGTTCGTGGGTGATCTGACCTCTGATGCTGTTTTAACAATCTGAGTGCCACCTTAAGTTGGCAATTTTATGTTATAGTGGTTGACAGTTACTTATTACCGGATTTCTTCTACTTAATAATTTTTCTCCCTAGTGACCATTTGTCATCATTACATAAATAACGATGAAAAATCTGTTGGCACAATCTTGCAATGCAGTTTTTTTTTCTTTTTCTGCAAAGATAAATAGCAAAGATGAAATTTATAAAAATTTGTAAGAGGGGATCTTGAAACCCTAAACCTCGGGTGAGCAACTGCGATACATTACCGATGTTTTAGATGAAAAAATTTGTAGAACGGGGATGGGAACCTCAATCTTTGTATCATCACTCTCTTATTTCGTTTGTGCAGCTTGGGTGCAGATGTAATCTATGACCCACATTGCATACCTCATCTTGTTCGAGTTCTTTCGGCACTTTTGAGTCCCACCTCATCTGAACCAAAAGGAAATGGAGCAAATTGCTGTGGACCAACTCAGGATACTGATGATGCGGATAAACTTCTACAGAACAAGGAAGAGGAAGCTCCTGTTGCATATATCGCTACGGTCATCCGGAATCAGAAGACTTTTGATTATTTCCTCAGAGTAGCCGCGGAAAGTCCCCTCTCTGTTCTTGATATTACAGAGATGATGAAACCAATGAGTCTGCTTCCTTACATGCTATCATACGATCGATCAAGTGTTCATCTTTTGAAGGTATCATTTCTGTGCAATTGAGATGCTGACCTTATTGTTAAGACTCAGATGTGATATCACTCTTTTTACACTGCTTCCTTCACTTAATTTTTGCTGCCGCTGGTTCTTCCAGCAGACGTAGTGATCCTATTACTCCATCCGCTGTCTCCCACAGAGAAAAAGAAATGTAGCGATCTTTGAATTTAAATCCCCACCAAAAACAGCATCACTACTGCAGCAGCAAAAACTTTCATGGAAAACCTGCACACTTTGTAAACACTTAATAGAAGTACTACATGGACGAGTATTTTTTACATGACCTAAAACGATAACCCTAATAACAGATTTAGTGTTTAGCAAATCAAAAATCAACAGTGACATTACGCAAATCGGAGTATTGCCACAGCTACCAATGCAGCAGCTCTGAAGAAAATTTCTTTCGTGCTTCTCTTAACCTTGCTAGCTATCTCCTCCTCTGTAAGATTTAGCTTGCTCGAGTTTTTACTGACATATATGATGGTATCTCTCAACCCATTGATGGCCCATGAAAGCCAGAAAATCCCAAATCCAAATCCAAATCCGAATCCGGTATTCAACAGCCTGGTAGCAGACAAAGGTACCCTTCCACATACCAGTTTGCATAGAACAGAGAAAAAAACAGCGAGGCCAGTACCAGCTACCCCAGCAGAAAATTGGGCAAGGAATTTGCTAATCTCAGGGCTTGATTTCTTCAGCGAGGGGATTGTTACACTGCTCTCTTTGTCTATTAGAGCAGAAAGAAGGCTTTCGCAGGCATGCAAATAGGTCCTCGGGTAAAGGTTCTGCTCTCTTCCCAGTTTTTTGTTCTTTTTCTTCTTAGGCAGCGTTTTCAGCTTAGCATTATCAGAGCTGACCATTCATAAAGGTTAGTTAGGTACACAAAAAAAGGATATAGAAAAAACATAACACTAATTAACATAACCATAGATCCATGTATTAGGGTATACCTCTTCAGAGTAGCAACTGTTGGAGAAGACGCCTGTTTGTGAGCTTGTGATCGTCCACGACCCCTTCTGCTCGTAAAGCAGATGCACACACCCATGAGCAACAGTTATTTTAAAAGGAAAAGAAATGGAATTAACACAACACTATGTCTTGGCAACCCAATATGTCAAACTGAAAAAGATGGTGCATATCGGCAGATTTTGTGTTTCATTCCAACTTATGTCTTATGGAAGTCTGGTGATCTTATGATTTCTTAGGATACATTTATCACATAAATATTTATGCTGAATGAACTTTTGTGTTATGCCATATGTTCAAAATAAAATCAATTATCATCTGTCTAAAGGTTTCTTGATAAGCTTAAATTCTAAAATTTGTATACCAGCCATGGGTTCATTTGGGACATTAGTTGATTATGTGCGTTAGAATTAAGTTGGTAAGTTCAATGCTGTAAGAATTTTGGGAGTAGCAATTAGGTTAAAAAGTCAGAAACTTGACACAATTTAAGTAGGATGAGTTTCTAACTTAATTACTTTTCTATCCAAGCTGACCGATAATTATCTATGAAAACATGATCAAATGATCATCCTAATCCACTAATCCATTCTAGCTTTTGTTTTGCCTCAAGGAATATCTTGGACCAAGTCTGGAGGTCATGGCTTACTCCAAGTCCATCCCACATTAGACAAAAGAATGATGAACCTAAATTGTGGAAGAAAATAAGTTACTGGAATCCTGAACAACATTTTCAGTTGCCTGGAAGCTTAGCTCTTTTTCCAGAATTTAACTAGCTTTTTGGAGATCAAATGTTCATTTTGCGAGGGAAGTTGACTCGGGAGAACACCAATCAACAAGATCTTTAATTCATTAGTCATTTTTCTAAACAGAAAAGCAAAATATTGCTCTAAGGAGATGTATAGTTACATAACTAGAAACCTCAAATGATATATGAATTAAAAAAAGAGAAAACGTAGACATGAATACAGTTAAATAATGTTCAATTATGAAAAAACAAAACTAAATTGATGTGCGAGTAATTGTCACAAACGAGAAAGTAATTCCAAGTTTCTGATCATTTCAGTAACAGTAAAAGGAGGGAAAGATCTACCTTGTGAAGTATGGGACTAGCAATGATTGTTTACTGCCAATTATTGTTCTTTTTGGTAGATTAAAATCTGCAACAATTGATAGTAGATCTTCCGTTTGAGATGCACTGTCTGCAAATAACAGCCTGCCATCTGGATATACTGTGAAGTATGAAGTATCAGATAAGTTCCCAACAAAATCCAACTGAGGCTCCGGGACAAAATTTTGCTTTTGTAAATGTAGAGAATGCTGACAATCGTCCATTTCAGCCTCATAGAGAGAGGACTTATCATCCACAAGTACATGCGGTGAAGGCAACATGTCAATTGTCACTTCTTGGAACCCCATAACTTCTGAAAGTAAAGAAGCATCTATGCCTTCACCCTCTGCCAACTTTGATCCAGACATAAGCAACTTCAAGATTTTCTCATTTCTTAGGCACTTCTCGGCAATTCTAAAGCTAAAAAGCACCGAGTTCGGGCATGAATCTGATTCAAAAAGAGGTGTGAGTTGTTGAAAAGATAGTATTTGGAAGGAGGAAAAGGGAAGCCTAATTTTGCACAAACCAAATAAAATAGATATAGACCATTTCAAAGTGCTAAATTATTTCTTTTACATATATATGTTGCTCATAAGTAATCTAACTATTTCCCAATCTTAAGGACTATCTCATTTACTAGTTGAGTTGCTGAAAGAAAAACTTTTATTTCACTTGAGGGGAGCAATAGACATACATATAAGTCAATAAAAAAAGATAACCACATAGTGCTTTTAGAGTATAGTAGCATGGAGTCATATGATCTTATCCATGCAATATATGTCAAAGAAAAAAAGCCTGATACATGCATTATTTTATTACTATAATGAACCGATACTCCCTTCACTCTACCAGTGATCACATTTAAAGAATAATTAGTTGAATCTAGTACAACATATATACTACATGGTGCCATTTAACTACATATAATTTAAGTACACTGAATTTTCATAATTTTCTTTTTGTTGATAATGTTCCCTCCTCTAGACTCAAACATGCTCCAAATTATGACAACCTATGCTCAAAGGATAATGATTTTATGTTTCAGTTCATCCTGATGAAGTTTTTTGGCATTGCTAGTGAGAGGTGCAGGATGATATTAAAGAGTCGAAGGTGTTCAAGTCCATTTTCCTTGAACAATATGGAGTGTTTCAACTGGTACAAATAATGTATCGGGCATCAGTGTATTTTTTTATTTAATATGTGGAGTTAGCTAAACATTATATTTAAACAAATGCTTGAAAGAGTTAGAGAAAATAAAAAAGATGAATGAACGAAAATTGAACTTTAAGGTCTGCAAAATAACATGGTAGCTTTTCATCACTGTGAGTACAAATGAGCCAAGTATTTAACAAATATTGTTCCTAGATCTTCACATTAAAACGATATAGTTCCATACACCATGTATGATACACAACAATGAAAGTTATTCATGCATCAGTATATGCCATTTATTTTGTTATCCATAATGCTTCTCTAATTATTAACTAACTAAATGAGCATGGCTGGAGAGGGACGCAACAATCAGCATTGCTCTCTGACAATGTCTAAATTTCCTTCATCGGATACCTAATTTTTGTTTTCATTTTGTTTGTTTTGATAGATAAGTAAACCTTTGCCCCCTCCAACGCGCAAGCGCACGCAACACACAGACACACACAATGTGTGAATTATGAGTCCTATTTATTTTTTTGCATTTCTAATTTGTGGGTACTGTCAGCCGCATGGCTTAGTATGCCAGCACATACTGTTCCAGCAACAAACAAGCATCCTCGTTCAAGAAAAACTTAACTATAGGAAACTATAAATTTTCTAATACTAAGATCTAACACACCCATCAACACTTAAAAGACTTTTACTTCTACTACCAGTTAGCAGCAGTCTTTCATTTATCCAACAATGATTGTCATGATTTCAGAAATGATGTTTCCACATAGGCAAGGTTATTCAGAAAAATGATATTTCCATATGACAAGCAACCTAGAAAGATAAATTCCAGTAGAAACAAAGGATTTATGTTTATCAACTGGAGCCCACATATGTAAAACAATAAAGTCAATGATAAGACTTATTAAAGAACCCCATAGAAACAAAGGATTTATATTTATCAACTAATAGTAACAAATATAAACAGAAGTATAAATAATAAGATTTCTTAAGAACTATAACTTCATTCTAAGCAACAACTAAGCTTCAGACCTTGCATGTCAATAAGCACAGGTTTTTCAATCATCGGAGATAGGCTAGCTGATTGGTTATTCTCTGGCAATAGATGCATTGGTCGCCCCACACCCTGTAGATGCTGTGCATTAAACTGAACAGAACCAAATCTTAATGCATCTTGCTTCCTACCATGAACTGGCAGCAAAATCTGAAACTCCTGAACCATAAAAAGTAGAATCTAAAATATTTGACAAGAACAAAATGGTACTTAACATGTACACAAAAAGTATTAGGATGCAACTCCACAATAGAGAAGCTACCCTAGTATTCAAATTTCAACAGAAAGTGAAGATGATGTAGATAATCCATATATTTAACAACTAGAACTAAACTTTGATATCCAAAAATAACAATTCGTGGCAAACTTGGTATACTGCTAGGCCAAAGAACAAAAAGGGATGGCACGCCAGATTAGCCAAAGTAATAGTTAACTTTCAAGCTAGCGATAATTAGATATAAAAAAATTATACTGGTATAAGTGAAGTTTATAATTCTTTTGCATTTTTCGCAAGTTATTGGGCAAAAGCATTGTTCTTTGATTCAGGAAAAATCCATAATAAAATCTCTATCTTGTTTCATGTTTCTAATAAAAAAACATATGAATGCACGCATATTAGCCCACACATCCACAAATCTGCACACAAGCAAACCTATGGACCCACATTCAGGAATTTGCACATAAACTGGGACAACAAAGATATGCATTCAAATGAAACACGTGTGTGTGGTGACACATGCACACTCATACTTGTGTTCCAGTATATTCATAGAAGATCAACAGGCATACACCAGCAGAGGTTGTATATATGACACATGCCCGCAGATGAACTAGTATACGCTCAGACAAATGTGAGATATATATTCACAAATTCATAAATTATGTAGGAAATTAATCGACGTCAGACAATGCAATACAGATTATATCGAACATACAAAAACAAAGTGTTTTACCATAAAAAGCTACTACAGAGCAAGATGGGTAACTTCATTCAGAGAGGCAGTGTTGCATGAGCATAATTGCAAAGACAGGAAATGCAGCAAGATCCAATCAACAGATACGAGACAGCTAGATGGCAATGTAGGAGAAGTATTCAGTCCAAAATAGTAGATGGATATAAACCAATTAAAAGTCCGTGAAACAACAAGACATGATCACTCTATTTTGGTTGTGTTGTTTTCTCGTCTTCTAATTGTTTTTCAGAGATATCTAAAAAAATTGACCTTAAGTCAGAAATTGAAAATTAAGTTAAACAATTGTCAACTATTCTCTTGAGAAGTTCAATTATACTTTATGGTAATATCCCTTGTCAATTTTGGGGCATATGCATACTTTTAGACAATCCACTTCTTTCTAATAGACTCGTTACGTTTTAAGAATCCAACAAATGTCCGAATGTAACCTTGGCTCACACATGATGATGTTAAAGTCAAGATTGAAGCTACTCAGAATGTCCTGTGCCCATGACAGAATTGCAGTGGTGCACATACTTACAACAAAAGCTTACCATTAAAATAAAATCCTTCTATGATCTAAAAACGAGGTTATCTGAAATCCTTGTAGTTAGAAAAACAAAAAACTATGATGTTTGATCACAACATTCAACAATATGCCACAAAGCAAAAAAAAAAAAAAAAATTCAAGAGGTCCCCATGAAGATCTGTTGAAAACATTAGTTTGCCCTAGTGAATTATAGAAACTAGCTAGATTATTATAGAAAAGAGATACTACTGCTACAATAAAATAAAATAAGCGACACCAAACCCTTCTTTCTTTTCAATGGAACAATTACCACCGGTAGTTCTCATGTGGAACGCATATTAGCTTAGCACAATCCATTACAGCATAAAGGCCCATAGGCCTAAAGGAATTTAAGGGAAACAAAAATAAGATTTGCGTGAAAGAAAAGAAACCACAATGTAAGGCATCTTCCTATATTCCCTTGTCAATCGGTAAAAAAAGATGAGTCGCAAATAATATGGTTGGAAATGGAGTTTCTTCGAACGTTTTTAAACCAGAAAAATCTTCCTATACCATATCGAACACATCAAACGGATTGGCAAAATCACCACAGAATTGTAAACGGAAGCATAGGATTTCGATTGTTCTCTCTACCTTGGGGGCCTTATACGGACCCAGATGCTCCGGGTGGATTATGGCTCGCGGGAAGGCAGCAGAAGCAACAAGGGAGAGTTCCACCATCCTTCGGCTCCGGGAAGAAGAACGCAGCACCAATGACGACGGGATTTGCGGGAGAAGAGGTAAAGGCGTCGGAGCAATTTGAGGCCAGAGGGGATCAACGCGGATCCCCGGCCTCACAAAAACCCCAGATCAAAACTAGAGGGGGAGGAAGAGGGTAAGGCGAGGGCTTGGATTGGAGCCGCAAGAACCGGTGGCGTCGAGGAAGGCGAGTCCACGGCCGTGTGCGGTCTCCTCTTTCGGACTCCACTTGGATTCCCACAGGGCCAAGAGTTCCGTCGCGTGGGTGTGACGGCGTTGGTCGTGAGGTGTGACGTGACCCAGTCCGAGGTGGCTTTAGGCACGACGGCTGACGTCAGATGACACGAACGTCGCATCTCAGTCAGTAAACGTTTATTTATTTTTTTATTATGAGTAAATTAATTCAAAATTTTTATTTACCGATCAAAAATAAATTTTAAAGGTTTTTTAAAATTAATATTTTAAACTTTATTCAATAAAACTTATTATTGGTGTTTAATAGCTAATAAATTATCAAAACAAATATTTATGTAATAATTTTGTTTGACAGTCAACTCTTTTACCAAGTAAGTTGTCCAACAACATAATTACTTTAAATGATAATTGGATGATGCCATTTATATATATATATATATATATTATAATATCCAAATAAACTCAATCCAGAAGGTGATGATGGATTATATTTAATCGTAAATAACGTTGATCAAATTCTTATTATTGTAAGAAGCTGCGCAATAAAAACGGTAGAGAAATTGCTGGCTATGGGGTTCGAACCCATGCGCACTTATGTGCAGAAGATCTTAAGTCTTCCCCCTTAACCACTCGGGCAAACCAGCGACTGTGATTGAGTTAATCAAAATATTTATTAGACTTAAATAAGTCATTCTCTCGGCCATACTATAAATTTTTCCTTTGGGTGCCCTAAATCGATTCCGCTCGTCTCTTCTCGTCGCCGATCGCTAGGGTTGCCTCCCTGCCTCTTCTTCTTTTCTCAGAGTGGAGTGGTCTTTAGGCGATGGCGGAGCACTTGGCTTCGATCTTTGGGACGGAGAAGGACCGGGTGAATTGCCCCTTCTACTTCAAGATAGGAGCGTGTAGGCACGGCGACCGGTGCTCGCGACTACACACGAAGCCCAGCATCAGCCCCACCCTCCTCCTCTCGAACATGTACCAGCGCCTCGACAACGCTATCACCCCCGGACTTGACTCTCAGGGCCAGCCTATGGACCCCCGCCAGATCCAGGAGCACTTCGAGGTCCTAAACATTATCATCATCATCTTCTTCTTCTTCTTCAGATGCTCTTAGATATTGGCTATGATTTATGTAGGTCCAGGCAGGCGTGTCCAATAATATTATCCGATTTCAAAAAATAAACTTGTTTATGTTGATTTCTTTGTGGTAGTAATAATCGTTGGGGTCTTTCTAATCTCGTAGTTATCAGGTATATGTTTCACGAAGCGATGCTAATCCATATACCTCGAAAAGACTGATCGTGTTCTCCAAACTTACTTGCTGCAACTATCTTATGAATGTTGGAGTTATGCCTCTAAGCATTACCTCAATTCAGGGAGGGGAGAAGCTGCCGAATAGAAATAACAACTAGGTGTATTACTAATTAATTCTTTTTGTTATTGCAAATGAGAGAGAGCAATAGTTGAAGCATGAGCTTTAGCACTTAGATTTCTGTTTATCTTTAGGGATACTAGTCTCAAAATCTTTCACTTGGATTTTGAACTTCTTTAGTAACTTTTGCTCGTTATATAACACATGAAAATAGCTTACAATCATGGGTATGTACTGCCATGGAGTACCGCCCTCTCTCCTCTCATGTTTGCATTATGAAGATACTTATTGAAGTTCAATAGTATATTCCTTCTCAACTAAAATAGAACTTACTTTTCCTTCTCCCAAGTGCCATAGGAGTCCTCTTGTGAACAAGGTAAGTTGTCTTTTTCATGCCTTACATTTATAACTCCTTTTTGTATATGATTACTGATCTCTCTATACATAAAATCTTCTGCCTGTATTGTTTGAGTCACCCACAAGATGCACATGGATTGCCACGTCATCCATTGGAGACTCATAAGCTGGCTCAGCATATTACATTCTGAATCACTGTTAGATGTTAGCAGCCTAATTCATGGCCAAAGCAGGCTGATTTCGGAATAATTCAGGATAGATCTTGGCTGGTTTTGATTGGTGTCCAGTTGGATTATGTTTCTGTCTAGGTTGCATTGTAATAATGGAAGTGGTCCTAGATTTCCCTGTCATATCTGTTTCCTCATATGTTCAGTCACAACAATAGATATTATGTTATCTCTAATCACCTAACAAGAGGAATACATGTGCAAAATTAGGAGGAAAGGGGAATAGTACTAAATAAAAAAATTTAAAAATAAGGCAGTGATGTTGAAGTTAGTAGTTACAGTAGCAAATATTTTAAGATAAAACTTAGACAAGAAGTGACATTTAAATGTTATAGATAGATGTGATAAGTGTTATGACTACTTCAATGCTTGGAAGCACAGACACGGTGATTTGGGTGATGTACCCGGGTCCAACATGTGTCGGACATGGATTCATCTCTACACGATCGAACATGTGTTTTTTTTATTTTTATTTTTTTAATTCGTCGGATATACCATTCGCATGTTGGACTAAGTGGTCACGTGCGAAGGTGTTAGGGAACCTCTGGAATTTAACCCGGTGGTCGCTTGTCAGGGTATCAGGAACCTTCGGAATCCGTCTTCCTCATGGATATAGGGAGGATTTCGATGTTAAATACCACCTATCCCGATTGAACCCTAGCACATCATCAACTGCCCTTCTTCCTCACCGGCTTGGCTTCCCTTGCTTTGACTTTTTAAAATTCTTTTGATGAAAAGATTAGATGGTTAGTAATTGGCTTCAGAAGGTTAGCAACCATCGCTTCCTATATCATCCTGGATATTATCTAGTTCTTCTCATGAATAAACATTGAGGATTTATATGTAGAGATTAGATTTAGAAGTTCGATTTTTTGTGTTAAAATTTACTTTTCATAATTGTAACATCTTGATTTAGTCTCACATCGAAAGTGGGTAAAGATTAAGATTGACTTATATGAGCTAGCAGTTTAGGCTCACTGAAGTTAATATATTAGTTATCTCGTCAGGCCATAGATGTGGCTGGAGAGCACGTCATGATGTGAAGCCATCATTGGGCTAAGCTTCATATTAGAGAGATTATAACATTCTGATTTAGCCATTGAAACTTGGGTTGAAGTATTTTGAGCCAATGGTTTAGGCCTAACAAAGCTAATAGGCTTGTTATCCCATTAGGTTGGGCTCAGACAATGATGAGAGGCTCGAGTAGGAAAGGTCTATTCGTGGACGCGGCCGGGGAGCATGTCACGATGTGGAGCCACCATTGGGCTAAGTCTCATGTGCCCTCTTATGGGGTTTGATTCTATACTATGTTGGGCGTTGATAAGGGCGTCAAGCCTTTAACTAGGGGGAGATTATAACACTTTGATCTAGTCCCATTTTGAAGTGGACAAATGACAAAGGCTGACTTATAATGGTGATAGGTGTACTACTATTAATTTTGGCCTAAGCATTTTGGGCTAGTAGTTTAGGCTCAACGAAAGTAACCAGTCAGTTATCCATTAGGTCGGGCTGTGAAAATAACTGCATGTATAAAATCTTAAATGGGGCTTATCCTACCAAATAAGTAAATAGCTTAATCTTGTATTTTCTTTCATGTTTTTACAGTTTCATTGAGCTGGTTTTTGTAGCCTTATCATAGAAGTTTGAATAAGCAAGCATGTCTTATCATTTCAAGCATTGGTTTGCATGTTATGATATTTCGAGAAAGAAAAAAAAGGCATCTCTAGAGATTAAATAAAGTTGTTTAAGGACATATTTTGTTACTTTTGATGTCATTGTTAATGGTTTCAGTTATTTGTGTCATTTAGTTGCAATATGTGATTTTAATGAAGCTGTGTTGACAGAATTTTTATGAGGATCTTTTTGAGGAGTTAAGCAAATATGGAGAGATTGAAAGCCTGAATGTTTGTGACAATCTGGCTGATCACATGGTACTCAACATCTGAATATGATGATTGTTTTAATTTATGTTATATTTAAACCATTATCTCACACCTCTTTGTTTCATTTGCAGGTTGGTAATGTTTATGTTCAGTTCAGGGAGGAAGAGCATGCTGCAAATGCGCTTCGCAACCTGACAGGAAGGTTTTATGCAGGTTGTGTTTGTTTGCTTTGGTGTTCCATTGTATGCTAGGCCTTTTTGTGACATTAAGGTTTATCTTTGATAAAGTTCTTGGTTCATAACTTAGTTGCTATTGTTTCTGTTGTCTAATTCCTCTTTTTAGTTCTTAAATGGAGTTGTATTTGCAGGACGTCCAATTATTGTCGATTTCTCTCCAGTTACCGATTTTCGTGAGGCTACATGTAGGCAGTATGAAGAGAACACCTGCAACCGAGGTGGATACTGCAATTTTATGCATTTGAAACAAATTAGCAGGTATATTCTATTATTATTGTCTGACTTCTTTGCACTTTTATTATTTTGAGTTGCTTTTCTAATAAAATTTTCAATTATTGCCAGGGAGTTGAGACGAAAATTATTTGGGAGATATAGGAGGAGGCAAAGAAGCCGTAGTAGAAGCCGAAGCCCCTATCGACAGCGAAACTTTGAAGACCGTCATGTAAACCGTAGCCATGGCAAGCGTCATGGTGACAGGGATCAGTATATTGAAGAACGAGGCAGAAAACCTCGAAGCCGAAGCCCAGGTCGTAAGAGGAACCGCAGCAGGAGCCCTGCAGGAAGAAGGAATAGAAGTCCTGTCAGAGAAGGAAGCGCCGAGCGAAGGGCCAAAATTGAGCAGTGGAACAGGGAAAGGGAGCAGGCAGATGCTGCTAGAAAGAACAATGAATACACACAGAATGGTCAGCAGCAGCATGATCAAGAAGAATGAGGTCATTGATATCTATGGTTTTCTGGTTCGTACTTTGCTTCTTTGGCTTTGTTCTTTAAGTCGTAGAGAAAGATGCGTCTTTGGATAGCTACTTATTCACAAAAAGTAAAGCTCACAGTCCATTTTCCACTGTGCAGGTGGTGTGCAGGTTCAAAGTCCTGTTCAGTGGAATATAAAAAACTAAAAACCTTGTGTCTAGAGAATTTCACAACACAATCACCTGCTTGCCTGCATTATCGATTTTTATTTGACTAAATGTGTCTTTTAGGTATTATGGCTATGGCAGGGGATACCCAGGATAGTACTCATTATTTAAGCATTCGTCCCATATTTTACTTATCATTTAAGCATTCACTCATATATTAAGTTTAGCAGCATATGGCCTACAAGTCCTGTTAAGATAGAAGTAAACGCAAAACCAAAAACCAGTTCTAACCATCAATTGATTTCAGCAATTGAGGTAAAACAAAAAATTGCAATTTTTTTTTTATAAACACCAGGCTTCTGAGAACCTTTGGACTAACAAGCATCCTTTATCATGATACTCGAATAATCAAAGGATTTTATGTCAGGTAGAATTTTTTTTCTTTTACATGCTTGCTTTGCTACTTGATTGAGTAACGAGCACTTGGTTTTATACCATGTTGCTTTTCTCCTTTTGGCTGGTTTAATTTATCTTTAAGATTCAATGAGCTTATCTTTTCGACAAGTTTTGCAGGTCCAGGTGTTCCTGCTCCTTGTGGGCTTCAATTCATCACTTTGTTGCTTATATGAACTTCATTTTCAGGACAGGGGCGATAACATGCCAGTGAATTCACCAGAGTCTGCATCAGAGGCAGGGTGTCCAAATAAAGTTACTCAGTTTCCGTCTAGGGTGCCTTCTACTTTTCAGAATCTAATGGAACCTTGTTAGCTTAGTTGTGGTGTTTAACAGTATGTAAAAGCTGCCATGTAGCGTTTGGAACTTGTAGTATGAAGGTGGTTGGTCGAATATGATTGCCTATCGACATCACAGTATATTACGATATTGTGGTACATCTGATAATGATGGTGGTTGGTCGAATATGATTTGCCCATAGATAGCACAGTATATTATGATATTGTGGTACGTTTGATAATGATGGTGTTTGGTCAATATGATTGATTGCCTATCGATGTCACAGTATATTATGATATTGTGGTACATCTGATAATGATGGTGGTTGGTCGAATATGATTGCCTATCGGTATCACAGTATATTATGATATTGTGATCGAAGGTGATCAGTAATTCATGCTTGCTGTTTAGGATCGTACATGATGGTTTGATGTTTGTTAATTGAGTGTGTATACAGAGGCAGTATCTTCTTTTTATTGATAAAAACTGTTTAAGCTGCTCTTCAATGGTTGTGTGGGGTGCTTCTTTTTTCTTTTTTATTGTAATTGACATCTTCAAAATTTTGGAGTGAGATTTAGGTTTCAAACTCTTAATATTTAGTAAGCAGGATTTAATATTTTAGTTATTAAAATTTGTTGGATGAAGTTTTATATCTTCAATCCTAAATGGGTTTTTATGTGTACGATCAGGTGGTCTCTTACGTGGTGAATGCACCATCCAACTGCCAACCGTCAACAACCGCCGGTCTCAAAAGAAGAAACACTCCTTTCATTGATATCACGTCACAGTTTCGACCTTTTCAATTTGATCATACTGCTGAATTAGATTGTCAGAACATGTAGTTCTTTTTTTTCTTTTTTTTTGAGACGGACAACATATGATGAGATAGACAACATATGACGCTGCGAAGTTATCATTGATTAAACCAATGATGATGTTTGTCGTGGCAGACCGGGTTAAGATAAGATACTCTCGGTCGGTCGGTCAGCAAATTAACAGAGTTATCTTCGATTAAACCAATGATGTTTGGGTTAAGATACTATTGGTCAGCAAATTAAAGCAACGCAGGGAGTAGCACTTAAAACTTTATATGAACTGACGACAGGAATGCAAGAAATTGATACGGGCGTTGTCATTCACTTGCAAAGCATATCATCCACGAAACAGCAGTGTGATAACAGTTCAAGCGGTGGGAACGTGCAAGAGAAGACACATCCAGCACTGTGAACGCTACGAGTTCCATGACAAAGCATAGTATACTGATGAACGCAATCGTAAGTGTAATCCGCTTGAAGGAGATTTACATGCAGAGAGGCAAACAGGCTACCAACACAGAAGGGAAAGAGAAAAATCCCATTTCTCTCGTCAAAATTCTCGGTAAGACAGGGATCACAGACGAATAGAAATACCGTGAATTGCTAATTTTAATGCACTATAACAAGAGCTGTGACGGCACGAGGATGGTGTTTGGCATGATCCCTCAAATGGGGATGATCTGCTTCCAGTGACTTGCAAATGAAGTGTGAAGCTGGTATTTGTTTTTCCCTTTACACGTCTGTATCGGCACCACCACCTCCGCTGTTGGAGAGCTTTTCCAATCAGTGCAACACCGAGGGAGCGATTCTAGCATGAAGAATGCAGCATGTCATCCTGTTAGCATTGTCGTAACTGCTGAAGGATATGCCCGAGCAGAAAGAGCAAATGCGTCAATATCTGGAACAACGTTCAGGACAAAGTTAATCCACATTTTAAGTCGAATAAGCAATTTGCTTACATACAGTCATAGTATTTGCAGATCTAATGCAGAATATTCAGAAATGACAGGCCAGAGAAAGCAGCTTACCAACAGAACCAAGAACAACCAATTTGAGTTCAAAATAGTCCAATTGGCACATGTGTTTGGTCCACTTTATCATGCTCGGCGACATCCATGTTTTGGCAAAACCTCTGTGACATACAGTGAGCATGCACAATCAGAAGCTGGCCAGGAGTGCCGTTCGTGTTGCTTGCATCGTCTTGCTTCTTTGATAGATCCAAATAAACAGTCCCTTTATACATCCATTCATCCCGTACTTCAGAGTAAACATCTTCAAATGGTTCTCCGCATAATGCACATATGCTTTGGCTCTCATCAGCAGGAACCATCAGTTCAGAATCCTTTTCAGATGAACCAACTTCCTCCAGCGATATTGCCACCTCTGAGGAAGATTGCTGATATCTCATGTCTGAAAACCATTTTCTAGACCTTCCGTTAAAATTACTTGTTTCAGACTCCTTGGAGACATGCCAATCTAAATGCCATTGGAGCTGCTCCTGGAGTCTGAACCTTAGACCACATTTGTGGCATTGAAGCTTTAGATCATCAAATAGGCTTCTGACAACTGAAGGATGAGATCCACGAATGATTTCAGATTTGAACTCAGTGCCTAAATGCTCCTTCAATTCAGTTGCACTGGATTGTACTAGTCCAGCACTTGCAGTGGATACTGATGCAGCAGGCTGGTCTTCCAAAGGTGGAGCAACACCTGGGGTAGTCAAGCTTAAAGAAACTTGCTCTAAACTATTGTTAGTGCATTGATCTCGGACCTTATCAGGCAGCTGAGCTGCGGATGTAGTTGTCAACACGGTTGGTGGTGAGGCTATTAAACCTTTTGCAACTAATGAACTCAGAATACCAGAAAGTGGACTCAGAGTGGGCCCAGACGTCTTGGAGTTCTCTGAATTAACATCAACCGAGGATGAGGAAGGCGGAGGCCCAGGTGGTAGAGGAGGTACCACATCTCCTGAATGTGGTGGTTTTAAATCTGGTATGCTCCCAAGGGAAAAAGCAGGTGTAAATGTTAAGGGAGTACTTAAAGGAGCAGCTGATGTGAAAACCTGGACAGGAGGAGGTCCAACTGGCAAAGGAGGTTGTACACTCATCTTCTGGAAGTTGCTGACTGAATTATTCGAAAATAGACCGCTATTCATGATAGCAGCCAACAAACTACTTGTGCTAGACTGACTTGAGGCTTCAACAACAGGATTATTTGCATGGCTCATGCTTCTGCCAGAGTCTTTTCCAGTCTGATGAATTCCAAGATCCATGGGCAGAGGTGGCAGTTTCTCAGTTTGATGGGAAGGTTGAGACTGGGTTTTGATCTTAAGGGAAGGTTGGGTCTGGGCTTCAGTTCGAGACAAAGGCTGAGTTTCTGCCTGTTGTTGGGATAGATTATGTCGTGATTGCTTTATCAAAGGAAGATGATTTAAGGATGCTGAAGTAGCAGAATCAAGTAAGCCTTCAAGCTGCTGATAAGTATCTGATTGGGACTCTATTGAGCCTGATAAACTATCAAATGGCTGAGCACGATTCTTCACTGGAAAGATATCCAGGGACCCTACCGGCTGTAAAGGCTTCCGACCCACTTGAGATAATGAATTAAACAACAGAAGATTTTGATCCGTTAAGTCGTGTGGCTTTAGATGTTGAATGGGTTCTGGAGGAGGTAAATGAGAAGACAGCGATAGAGGAGGCTGTGAAAGATGCTGCCTTTGCTGTTCAGAAGTTGCACCTGGCACTGGGGTATTAGCGTGAGGGCTCAATCTTGAAGATAGCACAGAAGATTGCAGCCCAGGCAGAGGCAAAGATGAATTATCATGTGTAGATAAACCACCACCAGAAGGGATTAATTGTTGACCAACTCTTGAGCTTTTGTCATTTATTCCAACCTCTGATGCTGGTACATCACGGCGAGACCAGAAGGATGAGGAATTTTCTGATGAAGCCCTTTGTTGTAATAGTGAATTTGAAGAGGTCTTTAACACCGAATCAGTCTCATGCTTGGCACGAGATGGCAAAATGTGCTCACCAAAGTCCTGCATAATATGAATATCATTAGCCTATACATTTCAATGGTGTAAGCATTTATTTGACAAGCTTGAAGTTGAATCTATCTGACAAATACAAGTATTTCAATAAAAGTGAACATATCACCATTAGCAAGAACATAAATAAGTTCCAACTAAGATTTCTTACCTGATAACACACTGAACATTCAATTTGGAACAGCTCAGAATTACAAAGGATCCATATTCTAAAAGAAACATTCAAGTTGCAGACCATAACATCAACAAAACTACATGCGGTATCTAATATGAGATATAAATAGTGCATAAACTTCTAGCATCCTGCCAAGCTGAAAGGAACTGTTTCGCTTTGCAATGAAGAATATGCAAGCATGCACTATTAAGTTCAAGCACCAAGGGAAAATATTGAAGTCATTAAAACAATGAATACCTTAAAAAGTGGAATTCTGCTTTCGGTTTTAGACGTCTCCACTAAGTGAGAGAAGGCATCAACTGTGTTCAAGTTAGTTTTTGCATGTTCAGTCTCCAGAGGGATCCACTTTCCTCTTTGCAGGCTAGCGGACTTGTCAGCATTGCCACTAGTCCATCCACCTTTGATTGAGTTGTTGGTACCTCCATAATCTGTTGGTCGGGTTTTTATGTCATCCCACATATATTCTTCCTCCTCAGAGTTCTTCCAACTTCTAGATGATTCCAATTTCATTCTATCTGTATCACAAACTGAAGTTTGCTGGCTATTAGCTCGCATAGGTCCAGATTTCCCATAGGTTCCATAAGAATGATTGACATCAAAACCATTCCTTTCGCTTAATTGTGCCTGAGTAGCAGTAATACCAACGCCATAATATGGTTTGCCATGCCCATCTTGGTCTTTGAGCCTCTCGCTGACCCTTGGAATGCCAAGGTCTGCCTCTCGTGAAATATCAGAAGAATATTCATGATCTCTAGCATCTTTAAGTCCTTTTTTCTCATTAATCACATTGTTTACTGTTACCCGTTGTGAATGTTGCATATTCTGCAAAATAGAACTTAAATTAGCATAAAAGATATAGATCTTTAACTAGAAGACAAAGTTACTTCTAGAATGTGAAAGCTTTACGAGCATCTTTATGAGAAACAACATACAGGCATCTTAGTAGGCAGATTTGTCCACTGCCTTGATTTTCCTGCCATAACAATTTTGTCAGAACTCTCTGCATCATCAAAAGTACTAACCACACCACTGACCTCATCATTGCTTATGTCCTTGGCCTTCACCAAACAAAATGGATATCAACATAACAAAAAATATGTGTAGATAGACAAAAAATTCTTCAAGAAAATACAATAAATATATAATGGAGAATAATTCTTTTAGTGCTCGTTCATCTATTTAGGACAAGAGTAAACAACATGATAAATATCTTCACATGCCATAAGTTACATGATAACCGTAGCACACATATGCATGCATGTTTACTTATGTTGACCAAGTCCATTAAACCTGTAATGGTAGAGACATCACATTTTAAAGGAGAACAAGACAACACAACCCCCAATTCTTTCTCTCTCCCTCATTTTCCCCCTCATCGCCTCCATCATGCAACATGCAACATTAGCATCATTCCAAATTACACAATCTTCAAAACATCTAAAATCTGATGTGCAAGCCTCATGCAATGGGACACCATTAGGAATAAACAGTACTAAAAACCTCAAACTATAAGTTGATGGTTACAGATATAAGAGTGCAGGATACAGGAATCTATTTGTAATCATAATAATCAGGAATTATAAGCCATTTGCCTAACATTTTACAACCATGAGGTTACGGTATTTCATGTGCTATATCTGAATTATTGAGTGAATAGTGTTTCATTTTTCACTAACAAAATGTTCACGAACAGAAAAAGCTATTATGTGGCCTAAGTCCAAGAAGTAAACAAAATCCCGTCTTTATTATAAAAACGTGTGAATACTAAGCTTATACAAAATGCGTAATCCTATGATGGACATATAGCAAGTAAAGAAAAAGCATGGGACTTTAAGATAGCATTTGGTGTCCTATAATAATGTAACTCAATAACTTTTTCTAGAAAAACTCTGAAAATGACAAAAAAGAAAGAAAGAGAACATATATATCACAAAATTGATACTGCAGACTTAGCCTTTGTTAAATCAAACTACAAAAGCAAGAAACTGAAATGAAATCTGGAGGTTAACAAATCATCCTGTTGTGTGGTCAAACAAAAGGCCAACTATGAAACATCAAAACGGTACGGGCAAGAGGAAGGGGGGGTGTGTGGGGGGGATCGGGGTAGCATCAACGTCAAAAACCAAACCAAAAGGAAATGGAAAGAAAAAAAAAGCAAAACAACAATACAAACCGCCAATGGCATCTATATGTCATCAGTTTCCAGAACATCACAAGAAATTAAAAACAAATTCCTAAGAAAAAGCGAACAAGGAGAAAACAAGGAAAAGAAAGGGACAAAGAAGTTGTGAGACCAAAGGGAAAAAAAAAGAGGTAGTGCCAACTCCACCGATTGACATTGACCTGGCCAGTCAACAAGTCATGTAATAATTTGAAAAACCAGAACCAAGTTGGGTTCTATCTTTATACCTATGTCATATATTTTGGTTTTTTGACTTATTTGGCCCAAAACCATGTGACTCAGCCAAGTCACCAAGCTATTCATCAAGTTTTCCAACCTTGCTTAACAGGTCTACCAGGTTAATTAAGAACTGAAAAAAAAATCCCAGTAGACTAATTTTCCTGTATTTGCTTGGAGAAGGGGACGCTAAGATAAGAGAAAGGACGAGCAAATTCCCAGATCAAAGATCATACCATGTTCAAAAGTAAAGAAAAATCTATTTCGAAAACTTTGGATGTGCTTTTTAAAGTCTGAAAACACCCGTAAATCCTTATAATGAGAAAATAAACTTGCAGAACAGCAGTTTATGACTAAAGAAAGGACAGGAAATCTTAAGCATGGTGCAAAGGTATAAACATCAATTTTTTTGCCTCATTCCTAAACTGTCAAGGAAGCTCAAAAGCACAGTCCAAGGCTATGGAAACCAGAAAGCTCTATAGGGCTGATTAAATACCAAAACATTGCAAGTACAGCAAGCTTGACTAACAAAATATAGCATAATATTTTAGTTTTCTTTCTCAATTCTCCCAGAAATAATTGATCAGATCATTCTTTCCATTAATCCCAGCCTTCTAAACAAGCAGCCAGATCCAATACCAAAAGAGTCGAACCTTTATTGCATTTTGTATCACATAGACTTTTGTCTCTTTCATAGTAGGAGGCATATCTCTATGTCCATTTGCAGAACACTTTGGTACAATACACTGCCTACATAAAGATGTATCTTCAAAAAGCTTTCATGCGTCTTTGACGCAGGACATTAATGACAATGCATGAGTTCATATCCAGAAACTCGCAGTACAACTTGGATCAGTAGATACTAAAAATGGATAGTCAATACAAGTACATGTGTAAAATTCAAGAAAATATTTCTTCTTAACCTCTTTTGCTCCTTAATCATCTAGCTAACTCAGGTCAACATGAACTAATTCGATAAATATCTTTTCCTTTTTCCAGTAAGGAAACATCATTTTTCAATTAGTACAAGAAAAATTATGAACTAATATTGACAATTTATAGCCCATTTATCCAAGAATCACTACCCATATTTTATTCATTTAAATCACAGGATCCTTTACCAGTTCATGTACCACTTTCTGCAGTCTCGTTTTCTATGTAACCTACTAGTTTAAGCAATTTCCATGAAAATTTCCACAATTTTGGACATCTCAATGCAAGAACACTGATCAACAAACATAACCATGTCAGATGGACAGTGTAATGGTATCGTAGTGACATTTACATTGACCAGAACATAAATTGTGAAACCATTAACACACTAAAACAACACAAGAGTACAAAGCCGAAGGAAGCCAATAACCATGATATCTGAAATCATAAGTGGCTGGCTTACCCTTGAGGAATGCAGTTTCTGCCTTGCCTCCAAGTATTTTGGATTTACATGAATGCTGTGGGCTGGACGTTGTGGTTGGGAATCAAGTTTTGATGATACAGATCCAGATGAAACATTGATAACCGGTGGGAAACCAAGTTCTTTTTCAATTAACTGAAGTGAGGCAGGGGGGAACACTCCTCTCCATGTCCCAAAAAGATGTCTCATACTAGGACGAATAGAAGAATCAACCTGTTTATAGGCCTTGCAGAATACCTATAAATAAAAAATACATATATCACAGATCAAGAACTCGAAGATGAAATGACACAAGACAAAAAGGAGAGGGTGAAAGGAACAGAAGCCAAAATATGCACAACAGCAAATAATGATGCAAGCTTCGGATATATTAATCCAACAGCAGAATCCACCTCAGGTAGCCTTGAAGCGAAATATCTGATATAATCTCTTCCAATATTCTTCACGATACTATCTAGGAGATACAGGGAAGGTAACTTTTGTTCAGTGGCCACCTGCATATCATCATAGGAACTATATATCATTGTTATTCCTTCATAATGAAAAGAAAACAATACATAAGTAAAGAAGGGACAAGGAACTGAAGACACAGGGAGATCATAAAAAACTACAGAAAAGAAATGGAGAAGAATTTTACAAGCAATTACGACTATCTAAAATAAAAAAGTTTACAGAAGCCATTGATTTATATTGATAATTGTTAAAGGAATAATGTGGATTACAGAGATAGACATTTTGATAACGATAAGGTAGAGAGAACAAAAGGAACATAATTCAAGTTATCGAGAATGGCATGCTTCCTGATTCACACTTTGCTTACCTACTCTGGAAATGTTGCACATAATTGGTGTTTCGATGAAAGATGGGTCTGAGCCTCAAATTTGTTACATATAAATCATATTTTATCAATATGGACTAATTTCAATAAACTAGAATAACCAATGTTTTCACATTTTTTAGTGAGTATAAATTGAGAATTTAAAATGGAATATCTCAGAACAATGGGCTTACTATCATCTACTAACTTTTACGATGCTCCCAATTCTTCTTTCTCATTCACTCTAATGCTGCTAAATCTATCAGAACAAGTGCTGTTCACAGATAGTAGTAATCGAGAACATATTAAATTGAGAATACACTTTTACTACATCTAGGCACAACAGCTTCAACATTGACCAGAGCATGAATCGTGTGGCCTGCTCAAGCCTAAGCCCTTTAGATAAGTTTGATCAAGATTCAAAATCCTGACAGCAAAACTTGATCAAAATATTTAAGCCATTAATCGGATCAAACTTCACAAGGATTTCATTGAAAGCCTAGCCAGTCCAAAATAACCTGTATACAATGGTTTAAAATCTGCCATCCCAGCCAATAGTGTCCAAGATTAGCCAATTTGACCCCAAACCTTCAGCTTTTGAGGCAAAGTGATTCTAACTCAAAGATCATTTGGAACTGTCAAGGAGTTTGGCGTTGCATATCCTAGTTGATTCCAGCCAATTACAACCAATCCTAAGCTTGAATCAATTCCAGGAGATTTCACCAGAGACCATTGGCCCAACCGATCTCAACCACACAGATTCCCAGTCTCATGATGATTCATTTTGATTGACACTTGAGAAGATCGCACCAATAAAATTTAATGATAACGAAAAGGTGCCCCACCAGCCATCAGCAAAAATTGCACTTCTCATCTGTTACATATCATGGTAGGATTCCATGTGAAACCATTTTACGAGCTGGACAAATCTAACAGGTACAAGGGACCATGATATGCACATTGGAGAAGCCAGATGGAGAAGAAACCGATTGGAATTTAATTGATAAAAATATCTTTTAACTAGATTTTCCAGACCTATCCTTTTGCAGCTTTAATCCTAAGGCTGCATCAATATATCCAACAAGGTCGCTAATTATATGAGAAATGCATGTGCATGTATTGATAAAATAAGCAACAACTTCAGACCCTGTCAAGGACGTCTGAAAAACCATTTTGTTGGTAAAAATCTTCAACTCGACCCCACATCAGACAATATTAAATCATCAACAAATGTAAGTCCCTCAAGAAGCACATAACCATTTGATGAAATTGTTGCATTTTTATTGGCGATTCAGTGGACCACAAACCGTGATCACGATCAACCTAGTAAACCAATTGCTCACTCAGAAGTGTGCTGGGTAATAGCGTCACTTGTTTGTTTCACCTGCGCATGCAGATCATAACCTCGAGATTAATTGGTTCAAGGAAACATTTACATCAACTTTATTTAATTGGGTGGACAAGTAGCCTTGATCAGAAGACATCAGAGGATCGGTCTTCTTTTACACACAGAAATCGTGTCATCATCGGTGGGATTGAGTAATGGGAACGTCTCTCAGCCCAAATACTGTTTTTGCAAGCACTTACTAGATCACAATCATACTGCGTCACCATAACAGGACAACATCCTCCTACGCCACATGATAGGATCAAGAAACTTGTCTTTTGACAATCTATTTCACAGAAAAGATCAAAACTTTGTGATTTATATGAGTTCAAGTACATCAGGTCACCTCGAGGACATTGGCGCAGATGACCGCGGCAATTTCCTTCGCGGCGTGAAGACTCTCTCCGGCAATAATGGTCAGATTGGTGATGATAGGCTTTGAATTGAAAGTTAGTTCGGCAAGGGCCGTCCTGTACTGTGACACGAGCTCTTGATGCGATCCTACTGGCGCAGCAGCATCGTCCCTTTCCTGCCTCTCGCGAGCCCTAGGCAACCTAGAAACCAACGGCTGGTTACCGGCCCTGGCTGGAGGGATCAGGCGGTCCCGGTCGAAGGCGGCGCGGTCCCTCACCACCGCGTCCTCCGCCACCAATCGAGGCCGCTTCGAGCCAGGCTCTCGGGAGCGATCCATGGCGGATCTGCGGGAGCTCTCCATCTCCATCCCCCGGGAGATTCCGGCAGCCCTATCCTTATCGCTTAGTGGTCGCGGGACTCCAAGGAAGGAGCTGGGCCGCGCGATTCAGGGATCCAAGAGACCTACAAATAAGAGAATTGGGGCGGAAACGAAACCCTAGATCGATCGAGAGCTGGAGTTCGCAAAGGGCCGCGGGAGGGCGCGACAGCAGCAGGTGCGGCTCGCATGAGTCGTGGTTAATTTGTAATTGCACCGGAACGGTGGAGGGTAGTTTCGACTTTCGAGAATCGAAGCGGAAATATATGTTGGACGAGAGACTTGCCGATGTTTTAGATGACGTATCAATTTCGTTTGGCCTAAATCATAAGTTAAAATACTTAGATTGAAGTTAATAATAATATTATTTCTTTAATGTTGTTGACTATGAAGTTGTCACGACTTGGTTTGATCATGAATGTATAAACTCGTTTAAGGGGTCCATGGGGTTCACGAGAGGAGATAAGAGCAGGAAGCGGACCTGGTTAGCATGATCTACTTGCTCACTAGACGCAGATTTGGTATCATCTTTAGGTGTGTCATAGCCTTACCAAGACCTCTACACAAGCGATCAATGTCGAGGGGATATTCTCGACCCAACCCCTCTAATGGTAAAGTTAGTTAAGAGGTGAAAATAGTAAAAATGGTTTCCACTTTAGACTTTGGGGTTGATTTTTATACTTGAGTGATCGATGGAGTGCAGCCTAGTGTGTGAGCCTTCTCAAAATCATGGTTTGGGGGGATGACAGGTTGTTTGTGATAAATGACCTAAACGAAGAGGAAAATCGAGGGGATGAGCCTCGTTGCTAAGGATTAATGCATCATGCAGTTGGCTCATGTGACCCTCCCAAAGATTGGAGATGGACAGAGGCTGGAGGATCATGTTGCTACTAATGATCGTAAGGGAGAGGCGCGAGTTCTTTCACGCATGTCATCACCCAAATGACAGTCCATAGTTAGATGAATGAAAAAAATAATATTTACATTATTATTTTTCTAGTATAATCACCTGACCCTTACAAGTAATATTAATTTTATCGTGATGTTATAAATCAGATGTGAGTAAATAGCATTAGAACCATACCTTTACGTCTAATTTAGCTATAAAATCGAGTTGGTAGCTCATGAGAAAGTCAACAGCGACTAAGTTAATCGAAGGAAACAAAAACAAAACTCCTTTTCTTTTCTTTTTGGCTAAATTAGTTGAGACAATATATTTTATTGTGATGACTAAGTCAATCAAAATTAGGCCACGACGCATGTCGAAAGATATCCCGGCGATCCATTTATTCGAAGGCCAGCTATCATGAGACGTCAACACATGGAGTTGCAAGTCTTGCAAGACGATAACTTCAATCTCTTTGGCAGGAGATCCTAAAGAATTAGCACAGTGGATGAAAACAAGTTACGATTAGGGTGGGGATCAAAGCTTTGAACTCCATGCACTCTTGTGATCTATATATAAATGATAGTGCTCTATTCGTGTGAAGCACGTATGCCATTTTCCTTCATCTCCTCTCCACCACAAGTTTACACTCTGCAGTGGAGGAGGAACATGACGACGCGGAATCCAGAATGGCTTCAAGCTGAAGAGGAGAAGGATTAAATGGTAAGCCGCATTTGATGATGCCATGGGGTTTCTTCATGCCTCGGCTTGCTTCTGTTCTCCTCTTCAAGCTGAAGAGGAGAACGAACAAGATCACCTGATACCTTGTCGACGCCACCTTAGCTTACACTCCAGGCTTTTCTGCATTATATTCCGCAAGGTGATATCAGATAGCCAAAAACACCGAGCAGTCGTTGACTTGGTGATCTTACAGTGAAGTCGTAAGAGAACAAGGAGGAATGCAGCAGCTTTCACTGTTCTGCCGACCATTCAGCGGCCATCAGTTAGAGACAAACTACATCGAAGCAAGCACATGCAGAAAGGGACCGACCCCGCAACTTGGATTCGCACAAAAGCTTCGCGTGCCTGGCGATCATGAAAGCTGACGAGGGATCCAAGAGACAAGATGTGCGTCTTCATCTTATGATGATGCCTGCAACTCGGCTCCACCTACATTCCTTCCTCTGCCTGCATTCACCTTCCTTCCCACGGTCTCACCAGCTTGGTGATGAGTTAGTTCTTAACGAAGAGGGGATGTGGACTTGTGCTTTTATTAAGTAGTACGACAGTAAAGTATGAGATTAAGCGTCCAAATCCGGTTCTAAATTAGCAGCATGACAGGAATATTGGATGTTGCAGTTGATATGAGGACAGAGGAATGCCACCAATCATTTCGGCCACATAAACAGTGCCTCCATACTTGCAGCGTGTTGTCCCCTTATGCAGCAACCAAGATGTACACTTATTGAATGCTTATATGCAGCATCGGGTGGCCCTCTCTCTCGCTCTCTCTCTCTCTCTCATCTGCACAAGTATTACATTACCCATGACAATAAACCATACATGTATTTGTCTCCTATGTTAAGACATACCACATGAACAAGGAAGGAATCTACAACTTAGCAACGGAGTACTGCCAACCATATGTATATTATGTGGTCGGGCCTTGATTGGTTCATGCGAGTCTCAAAACTATAACGCGAGGAAATGGACGAGGATAATTCTCTTCCATGTTGTGTTTGCATGCACCAACTTGATTTGTTTTCCTTGCTTCTACAACACAGCCTTTGAGGAGCAGAGATAACGAGGACCATGATTCCTGCAAGATAAAACCACAGCAGTCAGTCCACTGTAACATGTGGCGTTGGCTGTCTTCCAAGGCCCCGCCCATATATAGCTAGCTAGCTATTTCAACCTCCTCTTCTGCTCTTGGTTGGAGGTGGAGAGGAGCGACATCCCCTTTTCCTCTTGTTCTTCTCGTTACGATGAGAGATCTTGCCGGTTGCTTTGCGAGCCAAGCTGCCAGAGTCGCGGAAGCTTCATGCTCTGCCAACCGGAACTCGTCGTTGGTCGCGGAGCGGCCGATTCAAAATGCCGTCACTTGTTTCTACAGAACCGTGCTCTCCACCCACAAGGAGCTGCTCACCAGGGTGGTCTGGTCCAAGCATCATCAAGCCGCCGCTTCCCTCTCCGTCACGATCCAGGACTCCACGTCGAATGCCGTGGAATCCCAGCTCCCGCAGAAGACGAAAGGCAGCCGATGCTTCGTCGCCGGCGACTCGGTCATCGGCCTCCACTGGGATATCTCCGCCGCCAAGTACGAGATGGGGCCTGAGCCTGCCAAGGATTTCTACGTCGTCATGATCGCCGACGCCGAGTTCGCCCTGTTGCTCGGGGACATGTGCGGGGTGTTCATGAAGAAGGACGAGGGCGCACTGCCGGTGGCGGAGTTCTCGGTGGTGAGCAGGAGGGAGCAGGTGCGCGGCGCCACTCTCTACTCGACCAGGACGCAGTTCGGGGGCGACGGGAAGAAGCACGAGATCTTGATCCGATGCAAAGGAGACGAGTTGGACGGGGACGACTCGGAGCTGCACGTCGCGGTGGACAAGAAGATATTGGTGAGCGTGAAGAGGCTGAAGTGGAACTTCCGGGGGAACCAGACGATATTCGTGGACGGGTCGACCATCGACGTGATGTGGGACGTTCATGGCTGGTGGTTCTGCGACTCCTCCCACTGCGCGCTGTTCATGTTCCGGACGAGGAACTCGCCGCAGCGCAGGCTGTGGTCGGAGGAAGAACTGGCGCAGGGGACGATGTCTGGGTTCTCTCTACTGATCCAAGCCTTCAAGAGCCAGTGAAGAAGCTGACGAGTGATTTGGCCGATCGCTTCTCCGTTCATGTAATATGTCCTCCTCTTCCTTTCAGTCTTGCCTCGGAGCACTCGCTGCTCCGTCGAGATTTAATATGTTTTGAAGGATAAAACATAACCAAAGAGTTAAAATGTATTTACATCCACAATCTCGATCGTGTCTTTGTGTTCTTTGATAGGTTGATTGGAAGCAATTGTCTTGACATTGAGAATTTGGAAGAAATCTTGATAAATGTAGTGTCAATGATAATAAAATTGGAGCTCCTGAAAACCACCAGCCACAGTCTGGACATCGAATCAAAACTAGAAAAATGAATCCATCAAGATTTGTATCGAATCTAAAGAAACCTCTCTAAATCTAGCATTACTCCAGCATGAACAAAAATTTCAACACAAAAACTAGCATTACTCCCAAGCTCAACAAAATATCATCACCCAGAGTTTTGTGGAACTATTACTTCTGGTGCACACTTGTGTATTACATGACAACAGGGCAAGCACATCCCATTCCAAACCATTGAGAAACATGAGATATAATACCACAGAGCCTTATGACAGATTTATTTGCTGTGATCATGTTGCAACTTCACCAGTATAATACTGTCCTAGTGTGTGTAAGCTATGGACAAAAAGTTTTCCTTAGAAAACTTCTACAAACATTTCTTCCCATTATTTGCTAACTCTTCTACTAAAACAGAGATCGCTTTCTAGTTTTCTCACATCTCATACAGCAGAAAACAAAATGGGAAACCATTTCCCTTTCACAAATTGTTGTTTAGTTTTCATGGAATTAATTTTTCCATGAAAATCCTTTTCCACCATATTTCTTGGAACCAAATGGATCTCATCATAAACATACAATTCAATGTCATAGAAATGAATAAACTACAATAAGATTGACTAAACTATTTCTGTAGAAATACGAAAAGCTATCGAGGATAATTAAAAATGTTAAGCATCGTGTTACAAACAAAGCACTTCCCATAAAAGATTGCCAAATTTCATCTTTTCAACATGATATTATGATGATTATTAATAACCTTATATCAGCTGTGCAAATCCAGGCACCATCTGTATCAGCTAATTTTAAATCTGATAAGCAGTGTAAGATTAACAGGCACAAGGAAGAATGAAGATGTGTCATTCGGTGGATCCATCTATGGTGCACAAGAACTATTTTATTCAAAAAGGGTAGGAATGTCAAATTGGCCAAAAATATCTAAGAGGCAAAATTATGTTAGGCTATTCATGGAGAAAAAGCCTTTTACACATTCTTCTAAACAGAAATAGGACTTTCCAGCATTTTAGCTTTTGGCCTCCGCAATGACTCTAATTTGGTACTTTTTCCAGCCTTAGGACACACACAATGTAAATATCTCAGCGTTCCTCTAAATATGACAACTCAACAG